ATCGACTTATGCAACTTTCCCTTGGCCTCGATTGCGCACCATGTCCTCAAGTGTCTTCAACCTGCGATGTTCTTCGTCTCTGACAATCCAGTCCAGTAAACGTGCGAAACCGACAACAGCACCTCGACATTTTATCTCCACGTGATAAGTTGGCCACGGCGCGATTTCTTTCACTGCGGCTGTTCGTGAGCGAACGGAGCGCGCCGTGGTAAACCCTCACGGCATACGTAAGACGACCTTGCCACCGCAGTTGGCGCAGCCATATTAGCTTATCGAGTGGGAGGCCGGCGTAATCTGGGACGCGACGTCTAACAGTCGTTACAAACGCGGTGTTCCACGAGGTATTCTCCGCAGACAACGTTGTCAAAGGCCGAAATCCGACTCAAATCCTTTAAACATATCAGCCAGGACTCGCTTCTGTACAACAGAACCGCACGAACACAGACATTATAGGCCCTACCATTTACCGTGAGTGAAGCGTCACGACGAAGCCACAGATGCCTCAGATCAGCGAAAGCTGATCGGGCTTTGGTACTACGGAACGAAATCTCTTTGCCAATGTTACCACCAGAAAAGACACAGCTTCCAAGATAGCTGAAGCTATCTACTTATTCAAACTGTACGCCTTCAACAATCAGCACAGATGCAGGTGGACGCCAATTCTAGTGTAGGACCTTGCATTTCGATGGGGGTAAAAGTCATGTCATACTTGGTTTTTTCAATCACCATGTGATTCAGAACGACCCTATGATCTGTGGGTCGTCACCAAGCAGGCAATATCATCAGCGTACACTAAATCAGTCGCGTGGTTGTCTAGAGGTAACTCTACACCAGAACACTTGAGACCTTCCATAGCACCTAGTAAGGTATCCTCAATCGCAAAGTTGAAGCGCATACCGGCAGTGATGGCGAAAGGTGAAAAGACTTGAATCTAAGCTCTCACTCTGCCAGAGTCATTGTTGTATAAGACACAAAGTATGGCAGTCTAATTTTTGGGTACCCCATTCCTTCGTAGATAACGCCATAAAGTAGAACAATTGATCGAGTCGAACGCAGCTCGGATGTCCAAAAACCGATACTGGTATACTGTCGATAAAGGTGACGCTGCCCGTAGTTGGCGAAGCGTAAAAATGCGGTCCACACATACTCGACCAGGGCGGAAATCAGCTTTTTGCTCACGGTAGTCTACTTCCCTAAGTGTTGTTAGTCTGCGCACTAGAATGGAGGTTAACAGTTTAGAGGTGCTCACAGCGTCGTCGCATGCGCCTACCGATGCGAACTGTAAGCTCGGCACAAACGAGTGCCTTATAAGCGTCCACCCTCATGCTCCAAATCGGGCGACTGTTTTTGACACAATCTTTCCAGCGATAATTGATCGCGATGTGGTCGAATTACTTCCAAATCTGGTCCGATGCTGGTAGACACCATGTCACTCTTTTACGGATGCTGTGTCAGAAGTTATTGCTCGTGCGAAACAGACGAGCATCTCCACACAGGTGTAGCAACCACTCACCATTATCATTACGGGAACCTACACCGGGTTGGCCGCCCAAATGCAGCTCATCAGTGGACAGTTTTCGCAATGAATCTGGACCTTACCGTATTGCGATGGTCTGTGTGCCTCAACGGCCCATCGAGCTATGTTAGGTGGTGCTTTTGCACCTTCAGAGTCACTCATACCAGATTGGTCAATGGTTAGAGGCCAGACAAACTCAGCCTCCTGGTCCTCCAGGGTGGGGGTAGGAATGAGGGTGGCACATTATTCCTTAAAACGGACTCCTTGTAGCCCAATGCCAAATCCACTGCTTTGGGGTAAGGTTTTTGAACCAAAGGCCTTGGTTGAGAACCCTAATTGTTCTGCTGTCTAGGCCTGGGCAACCTGACAGTATCCTGCCCACGCAATACAGTGAATTTCACTTCAAACAATTTCTTGATGCTCTGGCCACCGCAGAGGATAATCAACGGTGCCCTGTCTGCTGCATTGAGCTGGGTGGATAGGGGTTTGGATGCTATTGCTCAAGTTCTCCCATCTTCTTATTCCCCCTCTTACGCTTTTTCACTCTTATCTTCCCGTTCCAACTTCACTCCCCCCCCCAGTTTTCAACCCCCCGATCCTTGGCCCTCCCCCAATATGCTTTACTAGACATTTATCTTCTAATTTCAACTCACATGCTAACGCGGTGCGTCATTCCTCTCCTGTCGACAACCCTATGTCCAATCAAGCGGTCCATTCCAGTTCATCGTCTTGCATTTGGAGCCCTCGACCCTGCTTCACATTGGCATGCCTCAATCTACGCACATTACTACAGATCGGTCAACAGGCAGCACTTGACCGAACATTGGAGACCCTCTCGATCAATATCTGCCGCTTATCGAAGACCCGCCTGCCAGACTTGAACTCTGTGCTGACTTTGCGATCTCCTTCAGTTGACACCAGCAGCACTTTCTTATTGCGCCTATCTGGTGACGATGCAATTTCAAGCACCGGCCAAGCTAGTGTTGGCATTACCCTGAGTCCTCGGGCTGAAGCTGCTCTGGTTGATTGGATTCCAATCAGTATGTGTGCGGTCCGATTGGCTGGCTCGTTCAAAGCTTCGAAGTCGCGTGTGACTAATAGGTGTCTATTCATCATCACTGTCTACGCACCCACAAACTGTAGCGATGATTCGGTAAAGAACGATTTTTACGGTCAACTGCCTCAGCTCCTTCGCCACAGAAGAAGCTAGGACACTTGTGCTGGCTGGGGATCTGAACGCGCAAGTTGGAAAGTTGTCCACTGTTGAAATGCATTTGGGCGGTCAGCGCGGTGTAGGCTCCCGTAATGATAACGGTGAACGGTTACTTCATTTGTATGAGGATGCTCGCCTATTTCTTGAGAGCACTAATTTCCGACACAGCACCCGCCGGAGGGTGACTTGGCGCCCACCAACTTTGTACGCAAATCGACCACATTGCCATAAATTACCGATGGAGAGGTTGTGTCCGGAATTGTCGCTCGATTTGGAGCACATGTGTAGACACCGACCATGCACTTGTATGTGCTGACCTGCGGATGCGCCTTGGTGGATGCCCACGACGACGCTGTGGGCGCATTGACACCAGCCAACTGGCAAAGGTAGCTGTTCTGAATGCCTATCAAAGTACGCTGATGTGCGAGTTGACTAAGCGCTCACTGCAGACAATTGATGGTCACTGGTCACATGTTCGCCAGACCTTACTAGCAGCAGGCAAATCCTTATGTGGTTATATATCCGCTACAGCGTACAGCTGACATTTTTATTTTACTATACTATGCTCAAACACATGACTTCGCCTTCTTGCCTACGGCGAATTGCCGGACATATTTGCGACAACAAGTGGCGCTATCCAGAGTTGTCTCATTTCTCTGTTTGTCCATGCCACAGGCGTCGAATTATTGCACAGAGAAGCATTGCTAACTCGATTGCGACAACACCTTGCTGTTTGAGAGTTGCTAAATCGCACGTTTGACTATCGGGAAGCACTCTGTGTAGTGCCACTGTTTGACATTTGTGTAACGAGACCACCAATCATTTGATAAATATTTAATCTTTGACTATTCTCAACTGTGCATCATCAGGGACATTCGCATGACTGTCGATGTGGATTCGTTGTTATGAAAATCAGGATCGTTTTTATGAATCTTGTATCACTCCTGATGCAAAGTTCAGTTTGCTTTTGATCTGAATGACTATGCCTTCTCTTCTCGGGTGTGATACGACCCCATTCTGACATTTATTCTGTGACCAGCGCTGCGTGAAAATCACTGTTTGCGTCACTTCACACCAGTGTACAGTAGAGATAAATTGCGCGGATGGACAATAGGCAGCGAGGTTCCAGTTAGTACCCCAGATCAACAAATAAGACTGAATGGTCTGCGTCGGCTCAAGCACACGCTACTTGCATCTATCCACTACTTATCGATAGAATCATTGTCATGTGTACTGGATATTGGATACTATTAGGTTCGAGTAACAAAATCGCTGACGTGCCAGCGAGAGATTAAGCTACTGACGGCTAAATTAGGCATGTGGTTAGCCCATTTCCCCTTTAAACCGGAGTCTACATGACTCGCCATTTACTTGATTTATAGTCATCAATTATAGGGTCAGTGGCTGAATGGATTACACGCTCGCTTTGTAATCCGGAGGTCACCGGTTAGAATTCGCATTGGTGCGGGCGTCTTCGCGGTATACCAAAGCCACGTGCGGCAGATGGTCATCGCATGGCACCGTAACTTCTGTACGATGTCACGGCGTGGAGGAAAGGCCAATCAATGCATTGATCCAGAGGAATGAAGCTCCTCACTTCGAACTTGCCGTCGGTTGGTCTCCTGACTGCCGGGCTAGAGTCCGAAGGATGTTGAATACGTCAGATTGGATCCACTTGTTGGCATGACAGAGAGCTAACGTCAGTGATGTTCATGTTGTGCGTTTCTTTGTTCCTCTCCTTCCCGCTTGGCTTTCACCTCCAGGCATGATCTCACACAATATAATACTGAACATTGTATCACTTGTTTTCGGTTTTCTACATTCTCTAATTCTTGGTATCTCGATTTTTTCAAGCATGGTAAGGGCAAAGGTATCAGCAATACGCCCGTACGCATTATCAACTCTAATCTACCGCGCAACCACCACGATTCGCGCATGGGCTAAGAATACTGCGTGGTCCGAACCCACTTCATCCGGATTACAAAACGGACTTGTGATCCTTAAGACTACGGCCGGCTTTTCATCTCTTTGTATTGCGGTGTGTAACGAATGATATGCTTCGTTACACATTTCACCCTCGAAACGGTTCACTTAACCTACCTTCAGTTTTTCTCGATTGGCAGTTTTTTGCATTACCACTTGAAGTTCATCGATGCATCCATTAACACCAGCGATCTGATCTGAGACAATGGTTACTAGTGACTTTTACTTTGAACTGCATTTGTTGTAATGAATCTTTCTCATCGATTTGATCTCCACTGGTATTCATAGGTATCGAGAGCCAACTGCTGAGCTGGAAGCCGCAGCGATTCAAGAAAATCAACAAATTATCGACCAGGCGGATCAAAACATCTCGCAGCGAAACCCGCGCACCACTTGTACAAACGCGGCTTCTGGTTTAATCATTCCAGCGCAACGACCACCTTTGTCCAAAGCATCTGCACCTTTCGATCTGACTGTCAAACCTCCTGACATACAGCAACGAGTGGGACAAAATGGCGTCACTGTGGTGAGTGTTATCACACGCACAAGGAGCTTTGTTCCTGTGCGTCTCGCATTTCGCCTCCGTTCAACATTGATAAATCCGGTTTCTTATCTTTTTCCTCTCGTTTCGCACTTCTAAACTTTTCCAAGCGTTCGAGCAAATTGTGTGTGTTCTCCACTATATGGTATATCGTCATTTGTCTTGAACTCTATGTCAGCAGGTGTGTGCTTTGCGTCGCACAGAAAGTCCTGGTTTTACCAATGTTGATTCATTTCTATGCCGTTCGTTCGCGTGAAAACAAAGCGTCAGTGGAGCGCCCCGGCATATTACCGATGTCTTTTTTGGTCGATTGTTCACCAGTCATGGTAACTAGATTGCAATATTTTACCACCATTTGTGTTTACATGAACAGAGCAGGAGTGATAGCTTTTTATGGATACTGGGGAACCTAGCTCAATTTCTGGCCCTTAACATGACGACGTTACTTCAGAGCACCATCCCGTGACCAACTCCGAGGTTTTATTACTTTCCTTCAAATCTGGTGATAATTAGTGAGTTCACCTTCACGTGGAAAAAGATTTAAGCCCAAGCCCTCGCAGCTCCGTTTTTGCTTCCGCATGACTATGCATTGGTACGCTTCAGAGTCTACTGATTTCAACTCATTAGGAATGGTGTCCTCCATCAGTATTCTTCTCGCTATCGCCGCTGTTTAGCGGATGGTCTTCGATTTCTGATTACTTAACTACAATGTTAGACAAGCTGCCTAACAGATGAGCAACCTGAGCTACCTACATTTGTATCCATTTCAATGTTTGCTTTTCTACGTGATCACTATACACACCGTTCTGTGAACTGATCAGTCCCATTCTCTGGATATCTCTCGTGGCATCATTGAGTTTTGGGTTCTAGTTTAATGGTAAGGATAATATGGCCACTTACAACGCATCATCGGCAGACGCTTAGCTACACGTGACCCAATTTGTGTCATCCACATTGCAACCATAGTTAACCTATCTGTTAATAGAGTCCTTAAATTTCTCGTTATCCAGATTGGTCACGTAAATGTTTGCAAACAACTCCCCTATTGACAAACCTGTTTACTACATCATACATTTGCTAGTGGAATGTCCCGTTAAACGTGACCCAACGGTCGTTAGTATACTGCACCAGTTTTCCGGGATGTGATTATCAATTTAGTATGACTAACTATAGTCTACATACACTATGTGTTTCGTGTCGAAACCTTCACGAAAATCGAGACTTATGTACTGGAACCAGGACGATTTGCCAACTAACGAAGGTTATTCCCTACTTCGGATCGCAATGCTGCTCATTCAAGTAGGTAAATTCCCTTGAGAAACTGTTCGACATACGGCTGATGACATTCTCAGCTAAAATATCAAACATAAACTTTTACCGATGTTCAATTGCCGTAGAGTCAACAAAACTCAACCATGAATGCCCCTTTGTAAAACTGTCTACTTGTAATCTAGGAATACGTTACTCTTCCGGCTACAACGTTTCAAAACGGGCGGGATATCAGATGGCGTGGGCCATGCAATCTTTGGCCAGAATATGCAATAAGATCCATGCAGTTCCTGCCAAAATTGGCTTTTACAAAGTCCTTACCCTTCCTATCCTTGAGTTCTGCAACATCATATATGGCAACATGTGTTTGTGTGACCGAAAGCTTTGGGAGACCCACAGAGGTCGTCTTTTCGGTAAATCGTCCACCTTCAGCTATCAGCTGCGTTGCCAGCATCTTCACCTCAACTCTTTTTGTTTGTGACGACTGAAACACAATTTGATGCTCACGCACAATCTGCTAAATCAGGAGACGTTCCGACCCGGCCACCTTTATATTACTACATTAATCCATTAAGACATGCGCATGAATTGTGCGAATGACTAGGACAGTTGTTCACTCTTCTTCCCCATCAGCTACGCTGCCCTGTAAAATAGTCTACTAACTACTTTTAAGTACTGTGCAGGTGCAAGAACATTCCATATTGCACTTGAAGCGTTCTTGACCGGAACTCGCTAATTGTCATCTTTTGATCAGAAAAATCGCCAAATGGCTTCCTTCCAAGCTGAACAAAACATATGCAAATGTGAACTTGCACAAAGCTCATTGCCAACAGAAACTAGGTATTTCAGCATGCTTTAACAACATGAACACATTCATGATCATACCTGTACTAATCACCTCCTTTTATCACAGGAACAGCCTTTCGCCCACCTGAGAATTATACTGATTAATATTTATTGTTATTACTATTATTATTATTATTAGTCGGAGGCATCATCGATGTACCACCTATAGTCTATCGCTTACTGCGTTTATAGATGGTATTACCAGTACGCCAGCACATTATATTGACGCATCACTACCGTGCGAACGACCTCCCCTTTATTCTGATTGAGACCACTGGGATGCAGAAACTCATGCAGGAGCCAGTCGCGTACCAGTGGCGCAGAGTGCCTGTCATACGCCTGCTTTATTCCACCCATACTCGAGAGAAGCACCTTTTATCCATCTGTTTCACTTGACTCGGTGATTGTGTCCAGCGTTTCATTTGTCAAACTGCAAATCTTTGGCAGACCTGAATGATTAGTCTACTCCAATCCTGTGTGTTACGAAATCCGCTGTCACTGTTATCGACGCTACTTGTCAACTGGCATTGGAATCAATCTGACATCTAATTCTTGTGATGGAACATGTGTTGCTTTGTACTTGGTGTTTACCCCGTCCTTGGATATGCCCACAGCCTCGACTACGGGTTCTTCGGGCGTTGGGGAATGCGCACGTTTCCAAGCCGGTGGTCGAAAGCAGGTGTCTTCTTTGCAGCCCGGAGGTCATCGGGTCGATCCTGTGTAGGGGACCGGTCGACCCTCGCGGTATCTTTAACCAACACGCGACTAGTGGTGGTTGCGCGGCAGCGAAACGCAGATAAGCTAGTTGCGGGTTCGACGCCTGCTATATCCACCTGATGAGATCGAAACGCGTCGTGGTTGTGCGCTGTTTTTGGGTGCACAACACCCAATTTCCATCTGCTGTGGCTGCGGTCCCAGTGGTTGTATTGACCAAAGTTCACTTCAGTGTGAATCGCCGTCAGTATTGAGATTGCGCGTCGCAATCCAATCAAACAACCTGTACTACAATGTGGCTGTCCATTCAGTCCTTATAGGGGCCTCAGCAGTACGCCGGTACGCAGTACCGACGCTTTGCTGCAGCGCAACCAACATCGCGCGAGCGTGAGCTGCCGATACTGAGAGGGTCGAGCTGTCTCTACGCAGGCTCGAACCCGCGTCGTCAGATTACAAGACAAGCTCGTTAGCTTCAGGTCACGGGCCGGCCATTAACCGTTGTGCTACGCGTTGCCCGTCGTGACCCGGTAGCAGGGGTAGAGGCTTCGGCTACTATTCTAATGGTCGGGTGTTCGAGGCGTATCAGAAATTCTGGCACGTTACATTCGGAGTTTTTAGGCGCCATGTGATCTTGCGGTACCGTTACCCACTATTCATTTGCATGATCACTGAGCCTTTATGCACGCAGATGAGTGCATTGTCAGCGTTTTTCAATGTGAGTGTGCCCATTAAAAATGCGATGGTTTGTGTGCCTCAGTAATCCATTAAACTTTGTTGTGTGGTGTTTTCGCATGGTTAGAGACCAGACAACCTCAGCCTCCAGGTTGGGAGACGGAATGAGGATGGCTCCTTAATCCTTAAAACGGACTCCTTGTAGCCCAATGCCAAACCCGCTGCCTTGCGGACAGGTTTTTGAACCAAAGGCTTTGATTGAGAAACCTAATCGTTCTCCTGTCTAGGCCTGGGCAATCTGACAATATCCTGCTCACGCAGTACAACTATGAACTTCTCTCCACAGTACATCAAAAATGCAAAATTTCTATGTATGGAAGAGATGTACATGTTTTCCCGAGTATACTGAATCTCGCATCGCACAGATATCTTTCGTTGAATCACCACGTAAGCATGAGGGATGCGGAGTTATTGTGCAACACAGTGCTAACATATAGAACTAATTCGATTAAAAGCGATAATTCAACATCAGCAGCAGTGCGTCAGACATATTAGCTTATGTTTCGTTGCCGTAAGGAGTGCTATTTAACTCTTCTGATGAATTCTCACGCAGTGTGTGAAATGGCCCATTTCTGCTGGTAGCCAAGAAAAGCTTTCATGCCTGGGTTGCAATCTAGAGGTCACCATTTCATACGCGGGCAGATAGAAGCGACCTCATGCGACTGATGGTGGTCAGTTAGCAGCGAAGTGTCGGTACAGTGTGCCGACGTATTGCGGAGGCATCGAGCTGCTTATTGACAGGAAAATCAACTAGACATCCCCGGATTATCCGCTGCATCTGCAACTAAGCCTTATTGATTTGACCAATCATGCGTTTCTTTTGTGGAAGTCGACGGAGATCACCGAATAACATCATGTCTACTGAGAGAGAGATCCCGTGCCAACACGAATTTGAGCATAGCCAAGGTAATTTTAGTTTTATGACAAAAACATATTACGCAACATGTCACCGCCATGTGTAGACTGAGATAAGGTTTGGAATAAATAAGACACCAAGACACTTGATGATCACATACTGAAAAGCGTTCCCCTATAGCTACCCGCAACTTATTATATTGCACTTTGAACTATTACATCGTAACATTTAGAAACCTTAACGGGGCCGGGACGATAACCCTTCCGCAGACTCGTCTGTGCTTTGTTGAGACATTGAAGGAGTATCTACGTTGAGAGCATTACCGAGGAAAGCAACGGGGTCATCACCTTTATAAATATATATATATATATGTATAGATATATATATATATATATATATATATATATATATGTATATGTGCCCCATGCTGAGGCTGATGTTGCATTCATGATGCTTCTTCACCGCAGTTGGGCTAAACCAACTTACACTTAAACTAGGTCTTTTTCAGCTGGATAAATTTCATTCCGCTTTATTTGCTTTGTTCTGCCTCCCTGAATAATGTTCTATT